GACTACTACTGACCAACGCTAACAGACTACCTATTGTTTAAAAGGCCCTCTGGTGGCGCAAGAAGACGGATTTTATAAAATAAAAAGCAGTCGAAACTGCATTTTTATGAATAAAAATTTGACAAACTATTTATCGTTTGATGACGATTAAAACTTTTTCGTCGCGTTCGCGGCTTTTAAGTAATGCATAAACCTTCGAAACGCGAGGCATAGACGGTGGCCCACGTTGCCCATGCCTTATGCCGCCCTTGGTCATAGAAATGATATAATTTGAATATAAATTATTTATAAACATGTATGTCAAGTTATAGTTTTATTACGACACAAAATATATTTAAGAGTTTACGGCCACTGTGCTGGGTGAGACGTTGTTGAAACAAAAAAAGTTATGCATTCCATCACGTACATAAACAGTATCGTAATTCGACTAGTGCAAATCAGCAAATTCTTAAAATTTTTGTTTATTTTGAACGATCCGGATAATCGAAAATCCGGATAATAGAGGTCCGGATAATCGAGGTTCTACTGTATATTTTTATCAAAGTTTTATTAGTGAACATATATTTATCAAACTTATTCAAGTAAGGGGGTCATTCAAATATGTCTTCATCAATTTTAAATGCTTTTTGACTAACTATTCCCTCTCTTTCATATTTTGTTATCAATTTTTAGACACTACCTCTGTGCTGATGTCACACTTAATCTGATGTCACCTCCTGATATTAAAATCAAGCATTTCCATAAAACAGATCTACAGTATATTAATTTATTGCTACCAAGGAAAGGTTAATTTTAAGAAATAAGTCAATAAAAAAAAATTCACTGATTTATCAGTCTGACAACATTGCATTAACTCATAGATATTTGTTATGTTATAAAATAGTATATCTTTCAGTGGTATCTTTATCTGTATTCCTTATCTATAAAGGATAAATTGTTGTATTATCCTTTTATATTAAAAGTACTACTAGAGCACTTCCAACAGTATATTTAGTACAGCACTTCTACTAAAGTACAACTATTTAAATAAGCAAGAACTTGCCATATGATCATTAATCAACTATCTCTGCATAATGATTTTGATAAAAATAATTATTTCAAATATCTTGAAGATTCTCAAAAATTTTCCTATCATCATTCTACTGAAACCCACCCCACCTATCAGAATCTGTTACAAAACATTTTACATAGCCCCTCTCCCCAGTACAGACATAATATTTGAATGACCCCTAATAAAAATTTTATTGAAATTTTTATTTATTTAAATATAAATCACTCAAATAATTAAATTAAGAGTTACTTAAGTAATAATGTCATTGAAAATAAACTAATAAAATGATAATTAAGTGAATAGCAATTAAATTTGATTTTTAAGGTTTAGAATTTGCTTGCCAGTGGTTAAGACAATAAAGGCACCAGCCTACCACTCTGGGGACTCATGGATTCTCCATCCAGATTTAATCTTAGAATTTTTTGTGGTGGTTCATCCCAGATATGTCAAGCCTGTGCCTCACCACCCTGCCATTCCATTGTAAGCCTAGCTGAACTCACAATAAGTGTGGAAAAAATGGCCCTCGGTGTTCATAGGGTGGAAAGAACCAAAAATAAAAAAGCTTTAAAACTAATATATTTATATCATAAAATTTATACGTTTAAAACTAATCTTTATACCTATCTGTTGTTAATTTAATAAAACTATAAACTCAATGATAAAGTTATTTCTTATGTAAAAGGAGATGCTCGACAGAGCTAGCCAAAAGAGTAATGGAATATAACTTCAGTCCTCTTTGGTCACAAGTTTCACTGGTAAAATACTGCCAGGATAGGACAATCTTGTTCATATGGATAGGACAATCTTGTTCAGGATAGGACAATCTTGTTTATTACATCAANCTTATCCGGACTACCTTCATCCCCAATTAGTCCGGATAATCGAGGTTCTACTGTATTTAGTTTTAAATTTTTACTGTGAATTTACACTGTTTAATAATAAATTTAGTTTAGATAATCAGATAAATAAAATTATTCTGTTGTTCTGTAAAACACCCTTTTTCTCTGTTCCTGACACAACATGAATGACTGGAGTTTACCAGAAGATTTTGAAATTTGTTTATTATATAGCAATCCCATATTCATAAAATTAAAACCAATGGGATCGGGTAATATTATTAAAAACAGTATACTCTAAAAATAAATCATTTTCAGATTAAAACAAGTAAATACAGTAGAGCCTCGATTATCCGACCCCCGATTAACTGACACCTCAGTTAACCGACCGTCCTAGTCGGCAAATTTTCAAATGTCCGCTAGTGATGTGGCAGTACAATATTTGGCTATGTCTTGGCTACTTTAATATTATTTTTACGTGTTTTAGCTGGCAACACTCATTCGACCAAGAAAGGGAGCCAGTATTTAAACGAGGCTTAATTTTCTAATTTTTAACGATACAATAGCGATGATTATTATATAAAAAAGTTTTGTTAGGCTTAACATCAATGAAAATTCAATGCGAAGTAGGTTAATAGCGATATACTAACATACTAATTACATGGGATATAATAATATACTACACTAATAATTGATTTTTTCATACTTTTCGGTTATCTGACTTTTCAATTATCCGACCAACCCCAGTCGAGTCGGATAATCGAGGCTCTACTGTATACTCTTTACAATCGACTTCGAGAGATTCATTCTGACAAACAAACAATTTACGAAGAATACTAAACCTTTATTTTTAACAATTCCATTTTCAAAAATTCCAAACAATCCAAATGCATTTTGCCTTTGCAATTAGGCCTCATCAGTGGACAAATATTCATAAAATTAAAACCAATGTATCCACTGATGAGGCCTAATTGCAAAAGCAAAATGCATTTGGATTGTTTGGAATTTTTGAGAGTGGAATTGTTAAAAATAAAGGTTTAGTATTCTTTGTTATATCGTTTGTTTGTCAGAATGAATCTCTCGAAGTCAAATGTAAAGAGTATATTTACTTGTGTGAAGATATGAACTCTTTTGGGAGTTTTAAAAGGTTTAAACAATTATAAAATTAAGCTTTTATCATTATTTTCCTTATTCCTCCTGTTTTCCCCTTCCTTAGAAATGGACCTTTTGACCCCACTATGTACTGTGTCCTTTCGTTGGATGACCGCTAAACTTTCAAAGATGTTTAGGACGTCTGAGGAAGTTCTCCCCTCACAACAGGAATTATTCAGTTCCCCCTTCATCACAAGGTACAAATAAGTAACCAATTATCAAGAACCTCCACCTGTTACTTGCTAGAGGGGAGCAAAAAGGTCAACTACAAGGGTAGACAGTATGATGAGAAACCATATCAATTTACTGCCGAGAGGCAGTCATCACCCAGGTCATGATAGTTTCATTGTCGGAAGTCTGGTCAGAACACAAACAATGGCCCCACCGATGTTCTTACCTTAGCCGCCTGTGGTAATTAATTCAATGAGTTTGACAGCTGTCGTCAAATTTATGTTGAGAACTGGTAGAAACGGGTAGAAACGGTAATAAATCTCAAAACCGTCCAATTTTAAGTAAACAACTTGCAACACAAAGACGATTGCATCAGATTTTCTCCAGATGATTCCCACGCCAATCCGTGTATAAAAAGGGATCGCACTTGTGCCTCGGGGTGATTGCTGGGAGAAGCTCTTGAACCTGGACACTTTGAATCAACAACTCTCGACTTGGAAACTTCGCAGTCTCTGATCGCCATTGCTACTAAGGTAAAGACTTAGAAAAATTTTTTCTTCACTTTCTCTCGGTGTTAAGTTAGAATTTAGAAAGTTAACTGGAAGGATAGTGGACCTACAGAGGTCTTGACTTGACAGACAGACAACGGCCATCTATTCTTGTCGCAATGCGGAATTATTATTATTAGTATTATTCCATTTCCTTTTTTGATAGAATTTGAATGTACAGTAGAGCATTGATTATCTGACTCAATTGGGGACTGGGATTGGTCGGATAATTAAAAAGTCGGATAACCGAAAAGTATGAAAAAATCCATTATTAGTGTAGTATATTAGTATATTGCTATGTATTATAACCTACTTCGCGTTCAATTTTCCTCCATGTTAAGCCTAACAAAAATTTTTTAAAATAATAATCGTCGGTATTGTATCGTTAAAAATTATTTTTAAATTATTTTATTGCTCACAGAACAAACCACCACTCATAATTACAAAATTAAGCCTCGTTTAAATACTTGCCTCTCTTTCATGGTCGAGCCAGTGTTGCCAGCTAAAACACGTAAAAGTACTATTAAAGTATTAAAGTAGCCAAGACATAGCCAAATATTGTAGCGCCACACCACTAGCGGACATTTGAATTTGCCAACTAGAATGCGGTCGGTTAACCAAGGTGACGGTTAATCAGGGGTCGGATAATCGATGCTCTACTGTATTTGATATGTATCACTTGTTGTTTAAATAAATATGTATATCATATCACTAATCATGTGTCATCCTTGAGTACCTCCAACACCTTGTCACGACCTCGCTACCCCTCCCACTCACGTAACCAAAGCCATCCCTGACAAAGAAGCTGTTAAGTGGGGAGAAGTTCGGCGCTCTACCCCCTCGGTTCTCACACTTGTTTTAATCTGAAAATGATTTATTTTTAGAGTATACAATTTTTAATAGCATCCTATATGTTTGTATTCTGCAATTTCCTAGGGTTGCCAGTTGTTCAATACAGGGAGAGGTTTGTTACAGGAAGAATTTGGAATTAGAAAATTTCCTGTATTTGTTTATCTACTTAGAATTATTAAACTACATCTATAATAAATGTATTAAATATCACATACAAAATTTTTAAAAGTATATTTAAAATCTGCATTAATATATAAAACTTAAATATGCAATACTTACACCAATAGGAAGACAAGAAATTCCTACAGCTTCAAGTTCTTTGACAATCCCTGCACTGCCAATTACATAAACTAATTTATCAAAATTAAGAGATTTTAAATAAATTGCAACACACAAGGATGTGGGAAACATTTCATCCTATAACAAAAATTATTGTGAATATTTCAACAATGAAAATGCATTAAAAACATGAAAACAAAAAATTCCTATTTCATAACTACAAGTATTAAATAAATATAGAGAAATCATAAAGCTTTTAAATTTCAACAAAACTTTTATGCAGAAAAATTATTGAGATGTTTTTAAGCCTTACTGATCCTTTACCAAAAAATATTTTTAACAAAAAAATTAAAAATACGAGGGCAGGCTGAAAAGTAATGCACACATGCTTGTAGAACACAAACGAAATGATTTTCAGAAGCATGCCAGGTGGCATATGGAAGTAACATTCCTCCTCTATGTGCATGCGCAGTTTGAGGTTGTTGTGTTCATTCAGTATATTTTGAGAAGCAGAAATATTGAGATATGTTCTGGTGCTATGCCAACACGAGTTTTAAACAGCATGCTGTTATCGAATTTTTAACTGCTGAAAAAATTACGTTTAAAGGCTGTTTATGGTGACGATGCTATTGATAGGTCTACTGTAAATTGATGGATAATAAAATTTCATGGTTGCGAGCTTGGAAAAGCCATAATTGTTGATGAAACACACAGTGGAAGTCCGATCACTGCCACAGACAATTACCGTTGCAATGTTTAATTCTTCTCAGTACATACAGACTCTAAAACATCTCTGACGTTGAGTTTGACATGTTACAGGCAGCCTGGCACCAATAATCTTGCAACATGACAACGCTCGTCCACACACCTCGCATGCAACTGGAGAGGCTCTGCGAAACCTGAAGTTTAAACCAATTCCACATCCTCCTTATTCCCCCGATCTTGCGCCTTGTGATTTTTATTTGTTTCCTCTACTTAAGAGAGACCTTAAGGGTAATCATTACACCTCAGACAATGAGGTGAAGGCAGCTGTCAAGTCCTGGATTCGAGAAAAGTTGGAAGAATTTTCAGTGACAGAATGAAAAAACTTGTTACATGTTGGGAGAAATGTGTTAGTCATTATTAAGGCTATGTTGAAAAATAAATATAAGATTTTGAAGCTTAAGAATTGTACTTTAATGTACTTTTTGCCCGATCTTGCTATTTGTTTTTGTTTGTGTTCTACAAGCATATGTGCATTACTTTTCAGCCTGCCCTCGTACATGTTATTCATGGTTATGCTAATTGTAACATTTTTTTCAAAACAAATGAATTCTAAAAATATTCATTCATTTTTTTCTTTGCTCTGGAAAATGAATGAATAAATATTCCAGGAATTAATTATAATGAAAACATTTCTAAAAATAATTCTGGTATCCTAAACTAAACATTCATATTTATTATCTAATTGGAATGTTTAAGAAAAAATAAAGATTTCTCTTTCTTCATATTTATGTGACTGCAGGGTCGGCGCCTCTTTGGCACCTTGTCAGGACGACACCACCGCATCCTCTGGACACAAAACTTCGACAGCCATTACGACACGTTTATGTGCAAGCAGTCACATTTCGGACTCAGAATGGAGGCTGAAGGAGAGAATCAGAGGAAGTACACTCCACAAGTTATCATATAATAAAAATACCTGTTTATTAATCGATATTGATTATTTACAAGCTGTATCTAGATGCTTGGCTAATGCTAATAATAATATAACATAGGGCATAACTACTACAACCCTAACAACAAGACGGAGTTCACATTAAGTTCGCGTGAGGATAAATACCTGTAGGATGCTACTCAAGAGTTTTCACACTTAGGGAGTGTTTCTTTTCATAGTGATGAGTCCTTCAGAATGGCAACGATGAGGAACAGTGATGGCGGCAGCAAATGGCAAATGGCAGCCTACACAAGCACAGTTCAATGATAACTCGGTGACTCTCCGTTCGACTCATCGACCCCCCCTTTTATTAGGGGGGTCTATCCTGGGTTATTTCCATGGCCTTATTAGAAGTTTTTCTACAATCGTCCAATAGTTGAATTTTTGCCAGATTCCGGGTGACAAACTAGGAAGCTGTGTCAACTCCGAAAGAAAGTGAATCCGTCAAAAGATATGATTGTATCCTTCCAGATTTTTATTAAGTGTTGGGAAAAAGTTCATTTTTTTGTTCATATAATTATTTGTTATTTCGCTTTATTTTAAAGCAAACATGAAAGTTTATAAAAAGGAAAATTTATAAGTGCTTATCAGATCCTGGCATTGACATTTATGTATACAGTATTAATTTTTTAGTTAAAGAATTATATCCTGAAAATCAGTAGTTACACTCAAAACATTTGGAACAATATTTACTTTAAGTGTAAATTTGACTACTAGTCTTTTACCTAAATAAAATAATACCTAATAATACTTCAAAATTAACTAAAATAATTTATCAAAATATTTTTAAATTGTGTTTAATGTCACAAAAAGTGTTGGAATTGAATTCTTTGTTTACAGGATGTGGAAATTACAAAGAAGAGAAACAAAAACTAGAATAACTAAAATTAACAAACAGATTACCACTAAAGACAAGGAACAGAAAATTCTGGTTCAAATAGTCCAAAGCAGGAGAATTCCAAAATCAAATTACATCACAAGTACAGTACATTCACTGTTTTAATATTTATATATTTTTATAAATAAAAAAAATCTAAAAACTGTATTGGTGTTACTGGTAAGTACATTTAATTAACAAGTACACAAAGATATTATACATGGGAGATGCTCGACAGAGCTAGCCAAAAGAGTAATGGAATATAACTTCAGTCCTCTTTGGTCACAAGTTTCACTGGTAAAATACTGCCAGGATAGGACAATCTTGTTCATATGGATAGGACAATCTTGTTCAGGATAGGACAATCTTGTTTATTACATCAATGTTCCCATGCAACTCTCCCACATTTGATAGTCCAGAGCTATGGGTTGCACTGTTCAACTTGCTAAAATCATAGGTCACGAAATTGTGACAAAAACATACTGGTGCAATGGGGCTCCAGTGTTTACGTTTTGTTTAAATTTTCTTTATATTCTTATCAATCATTTCTGTGTATATTAATTCTATTAATTTTGTTAGCTATTGCCATTATAAATCATGTTTTATTTTGTAATGGCATATAATTGTGTATTTTAGTTTTATGCTCCTGTGTAAAGAGCAATTTTGAAAATGTGTCCTATCTCTACATTTATAATGTTACCTGAAGAAGATGGTTACATAAGGTCAAAAGTACTCGTTAATTAAATGCACTTACCAGTAACACCAATATAATTTTTAGATTTTCTTTTATTTTTAATAAGTGGCATCTCTTGTTGTTTTTATCTCATATATTTTTATTTTTTAAGTTTTTGCTATGGTCATCTGATTAGTCAAAGGCCACAGCAGCAAAAATCCATTTCAACATTTTTTTATCTTTAATATTTCTTATTTCCTTTAGGATTAAAATAAATTTACTTATGTTCATTTAATCAATTTATGTAATTTTATATTAGTGAATGAAAAGTTAATAATAATAATAAAGTATTGTTCAATTACTCAAACTATTATCACTAGAGTGAAAATCAAAAGAAAGACATGTTAGAAAAATCTATTCCTCAAATAAGTCTTATAAGAACTGCTTTATTACCAAAGAACTGTAAATATTTAAATAACTATAACATGACATTGACATACTGAGAGTATTGTCTGCATGAAGAACAAAAATTATCAAAGTTTTAAAGTCAAGCAACCATCAGATTACATTGAGCTACTTTTCTGCAATTTTATTTAATTACTGAATTATGTCTGAATACTATGGGTAGAAGTTTATAGGACGAGAGTGCCAAAGGTGTCCCCAGCCAGCACCATATGAAACTGAGGATGGTTATATCAGATTTAAATAGGTCGGGAAGAGGAGATCAGACTGGAGGCTTGGATAGCATAACTGGCAATGCATCCGCATAGTAAGAGGGCGTTGTGGATTTGAGTCCCACTCTGGGCCGATTCTTCCAGAATATTCTAAATTATTTAATAAATAGTAATTCAATAATAATTATTAAATTTAAAAGATGATGTCTAATGCCTCCCTCTAGTGAAAAATTATTTAGTAATTAATTAAATATAAATCACGGAAAAGTAGTCTGGCATAATCTGGTGGTTATTTTGCTTTACAAATTTATCGGGTTTTGAGATACAGTAGAACCTCGATTATCCGGAATAATTGGGGATGAAGGTAGTCCGGATAAGGAAAAATCCAGATAATCGAAAAAATACTTTAATTTGTCTTTTAATAATAATACAACATGTTTTCTTTTCGATGACATATCAATAATATTAAAAGTAAATACTGTATTTAAATCGTGATCAAATTTTCAAGAAACAAACGTTCGTATTGAATTTGGACTACTACTGACCAATGCTAACAGACTACCTATTGTTTAAAAGGCCCTCTGGTGGCGCAAGAAGACGGATTTTATAAAATAAAAAGCAGTCGAAACTGCATTTTTATGAATAAAAATTTGACAAACTATTTATCGTTTGATGACGATTAAAACTTTTTCGTCGCGTTCGCGGCTTTTAAGTAATGCATAAACCTTCGAAACGCGAGGCATAGACGGTGGCCCACGTTGCCCATGCCTTATGCCGCCCTTGGTCATAGAAATGATATAATTTGAATATAAATTATTTATAAACATGTATGTCAAGTTATAGTTTTATTACGACACAAAATATATTTAAGAGTTTACGGCCACTGTGCTGGGTGAGACGTTGTTGAAACAAAAAAAGTTATGCATTCCATCACGTACATAAACAGTATCGTAATTCGACTAGTGCAAATCAGCAAATTCTTAAAATTTTTGTTTATTTTGAACGATCCGGATAATCGAAAATCCGGATAATAGAGGTCCGGATAATCGAGGTTCTACTGTATATTTTTATCAAAGTTTTATTAGTGAACATATATTTATCAAACTTATTCAAGTAAGGGGGTCATTCAAATATGTCTTCATCAATTTTAAATGCTTTTTGACTAACTATTCCCTCTCTTTCATATTTTGTTATCAATTTTTAGACACTACCTCTGTGCTGATGTCACACTTAATCTGATGTCACCTCCTGATATTAAAATCAAGCATTTCCATAAAACAGATCTACAGTATATTAATTTATTGCTACCAAGGAAAGGTTAATTTTAAGAAATAAGTCAATAAAAAAAAATTCACTGATTTATCAGTCTGACAACATTGCATTAACTCATAGATATTTGTTATGTTATAAAATAGTATATCTTTCAGTGGTATCTTTATCTGTATTCCTTATCTATAAAGGATAAATTGTTGTATTATCCTTTTATATTAAAAGTACTACTAGAGCACTTCCAACAGTATATTTAGTACAGCACTTCTACTAAAGTACAACTATTTAAATAAGCAAGAACTTGCCATATGATCATTAATCAACTATCTCTGCATAATGATTTTGATAAAAATAATTATTTCAAATATCTTGAAGATTCTCAAAAATTTTCCTATCATCATTCTACTGAAACCCACCCCACCTATCAGAATCTGTTACAAAACATTTTACATAGCCCCTCTCCCCAGTACAGACATAATATTTGAATGACCCCTAATAAAAATTTTATTGAAATTTTTATTTATTTAAATATAAATCACTCAAATAATTAAATTAAGAGTTACTTAAGTAATAATGTCATTGAAAATAAACTAATAAAATGATAATTAAGTGAATAGCAATTAAATTTGATTTTTAAGGTTTAGAATTTGCTTGCCAGTGGTTAAGACAATAAAGGCACCAGCCTACCACTCTGGGGACTCATGGATTCTCCATCCAGATTTAATCTTAGAATTTTTTGTGGTGGTTCATCCCAGATATGTCAAGCCTGTGCCTCACCACCCTGCCATTCCATTGTAAGCCTAGCTGAACTCACAATAAGTGTGGAAAAAATGGCCCTCGGTGTTCATAGGGTGGAAAGAACCAAAAATAAAAAAGCTTTAAAACTAATATATTTATATCATAAAATTTATACGTTTAAAACTAATCTTTATACCTATCTGTTGTTAATTTAATAAAACTATAAACTCAATGATAAAGTTATTTCTTATGTAAAAGATAAATTTGAAAATTTAGTATTTTATAAATAATTCAAAATTAAATTATAAATATTTTTGTTAAAAATAATAAAACTTTAATAATCAATTTAATATCTTACCACAGAAGCAATAAAACCTAATTTCTCACATTTTTTTACGTAATCTTCTTTAGTCTTAGTGCTGTTATTTGTAACATATAATATTTTCTTTCCCTTTAAAATAATATAAAAACTATTTTTTAATAATTTAACACAACCAAGTAAAACAAGGAAAATTTTGCATTTATATTATTAATATATTTTTAAAGTTTTATAAATTTATTTTAAATAAAATTTATATGTTAAACAGTTTATTAAAAATGGATAAATGGACTAGTTTAAAATAATTCTAAAACTTGACAATTTTTACAAATACATTGCTTATCAAAAGTTATAGATGGATCACAAAAACTTAAATAAAAACCTATATAGCATAACAGCTTAATGAAAATTAGTGTATAGGTATAATTTAGTATGAGAATTAACATTTACCTCTTAAAATTATGCAAAGCATACATAAATATGTAAATGAAAAACACTGGAAAATTACTGACATCTTCCCAGAGTGCGACATTTTTGCTGAAAGGTTACTGTAGATAATAAAGAACAGAAAACAGAATTGTTACTGTGCAAACAGTACTGTGAAAACAGTACATAATCATGTCCCAAAGATAATGTTTACAGGATCCAATAAGATAGAGAGGCATCGGAAGATTGGAGGCCAGTCAATCAATTACCGAAACACAGTAGTCACCACTGAACTTAGACCAGGCTGCAGTTAATATGCCATCCAATATATAGGTTTAAAAAAGTAGCTTTGATTCATTGCATGAATGTTTTACATAGTTTAAAACAAAAATACAGTAATTAATCTTTATTTTTGCTAAATATCAACTTGATATCTAGCAGGTTTAAGAAGATTGAGCCAGTCAAACTTGAGTCATGGGCATCAAAAAACATAGACCATTGCATCACCCTCCCGTCAACGAACATAGACTACTGCATGTTTAATATTTTGTTGCATCACCTTTTGCAGCCAAAACACCTTTCATACGTTTCGGCATGCTGTTGACTAGATAGTCACATTCATCTGCCATTATGGAAATCCAGATAGTTAAGATGGAAGCTTTTAATCCTTCAACTGTCCGAGGATGTGTTTTTCACAGACATCTCTTCATAATGTTCCATACATTCTCAATTTGTGAAAGATCTGAAATGTAGGATGGCCAAGGAAGAGCTTCTATGTTCTTTTCTGCAAGCTACTGTTTTGTTTTTCTGCTTGTATGACATGTGGCTCCATCCTGCTGGAAAATGTAAGTTCTATTTGGATATAGCTTTGCTATGGATGGAAGTAAACACTTTTGTAGAATGTTAATATATTGTTCTAAAGCAAGTGTTCCATCAACAAATGTCAACTGATCCATACCAAAGGCACTCATACATCCCAAACCATAATGCTGGCAGGAAACATCACTGAGTGGTTTAACAACAATGGATCATTATTTTCATTAGCAGATTGAATGATGTGTTTGCTTTTGTCTGTTGCTGCTAATTCAAATTTTGATTCATCAGACCACAGAATTTCATGCCACTTTTGTTGAGACCAGGAGAGATGTTTTTTTGGCCCACTGTACCGGTTTCTTGTTTTGATGTGCTGTTAGCAAAGGTATTTCACATACTGTACTGCAAAGAACCGGAAATGCATTTCTTGCAGTCTCCTGCGTATTGTCAAAACAGATATATTCTTTCCAGTTGTATCATTCCATATTGTAGTTACATCCAATGCTGTGGCATGGTGGTTGTTTTTTATGATTCTTTTCAAATTCCAATCATCATCTTTTAAAGTTTTTTGCTGATGTCCAGCAGCTTTGTAAGGTATAACATAGCTGTGGTTAGTGTAATGAACAATAATCTGGTACACTGTTCTCTTGCTTAGCATTAGTTCTTTACTAATAGCTCTCTCAGATATGCCATGACTGTGCTTAGCAATGATAGCATTCCTTAAATCTTCTGAAACAGCTTTTCCTCTGGCCATTGTAGACAAAATGCAAAGGTTCGTAAATAAAACTAAAAAACACCTTATATCATTCACAGGATTACCGCAGGCTAAAATGAGGCCAAAATAATCAGTTGTTTCAGAAATACTGCAATTGTAACATTATTTAAATACAAATTATTGGCTGATCTATGTTCATTGAAAGGGGTGGCACAGCAGTGTTTTCTGATGCCTGTGACTCAAGTTTGACTGGCTCAATTTTATTAAACTTGCAAGATATCAAGTTGATATTTAGCAAAAATAAAGATTTATTACTGTATTTTTGTTTTAAATTATGTAAAACAGTGTTTTTCAACCTGGGGGTCGTGAAGCCTTACACAGGGGGGGTCGCGTTTAAAAGAAAAAGACAAGTGTTTGTTTGTAGGTGCTACACTACATTAAAAAAACTACAATTTCAGCGAGAATTACAGCCCACACCAGAAAATGATAGCTGAAAAAAGTGTTGAGCTGATTTACAAAAAGAAATATAAAGTGTAAAGTAGAAGATGAAAATTCTGATCCCTAAAAAAAAAGGTCAACAGCTCCCCGTGCCCAACGTTATAATTAACACACATGAAGTATGAAACTTCCTTTAAGTTATTGTTGATTCTTCTGAAATTTTCATTTTAATCAACAATAATTTCTCTCAACAGAAAGAAAATTAAATACATAGTTTTTAAAATCACTGATATAGTTTTAATATGGCCCTAGGGGAGTCGGCAGAATTTTTTAACTTGTAAAGGGGTCGCGTATTCAAAAAGGTTGAAAACCACTGATGTAAAACATTCATGCAATGAATCAAAGCTACTTTTTTAAACCTATATATATTGGATGGCATGTTAACTGTGGCCTGGTCTAAGTTCAGTGGTTACTACTGTAGCAAGATTCTTTAATGTTCATCATTCTCTTAAAATGTTATTTATTGTAACATTTCTGACAAAGTATATTTTTTTGTTTTCAGAAGTATTAATGAGAATACTTCTCAATTTCTTTTAAGAAATCGATAACGACTTCTTAAAAAAAATTGAGATTGTATTTATCATTGAAGAAGTCAAAATTGGTTAAAAATGCTTAGTTACCTGTTTTACTTATTTTTAAATATTTTTTGTGATATAATTCATAAAATTTTAAAATTTGTTATTTACATGGATCCAAAGTGCTCTATTTCAATTTATATCATTCCAGAATATTTTTGTTTTCTTCAAAATTATATCTGTACATCCTAAAGAAGGCAAGTGGCCACTAAAAATATATGTATTAAAAGAATATCAACTTAGAAAATCTGAATATATTTTCACACACATGAAAACTTATTTTAATATTCTGTAAATGTAATAATGTGATGCTATGATTTAAGACATAAAAATCAATGTACTTACTTTGCTTCTTAATGCATTAACTGTTTCAGCTGATCCTGGTAAAGCATCATTTCCATTCCATAAAACACCTGAAACATTTCATTAAATAGTTATTCAAACTATAATAATTAAAAACATCTTAAAATGTACAGTTTCTTGCTCTATGTTCAATTACATAAATAAGAATTCATTATTTATTAAATAAACAACAACTTATATGTAATGATTTGTTAAATGTCATTGTATTATTCAAGTTAATTCAATATCTCTCCAATCTAAGTTATTTATGATTTAAGTTGCAGATGGGTTGATCAAATTAATGAAAAATTTGGATTAGTTACTGATAGGTATTAACTATGTAGTAAATAGTGAACTAATATAAAAAGCAATGTTATTTAACTACTAGTTAACTTCATTTAAATTACTCAAAAATAAAAAAACAAAACAGACTGAATTAAAATAACAGTTCTGTTTTCATTTCACCCTTATTATTTAATCATGAAATTGGGACAGCAATTGTAACTAATATTCTTCTCTAGTATTAGTAGAGCTTTATATGAAAAAAATGAAGTCAAAAAAGCTACAGATAAATATAGTTTATATTTAAAACTTTTTCTATTACATTTGGTACATATAATTCTGTGAAAATGAACAGCTAATATTAATTTTACAAATTTGTCATGTGTTTAAAAAATATTGTGTAAGCTTTTTCCCACGTGAGGCTCATGTACTACCACTACACACATGCCAATCCTGATCCTGAATGGAGGAGGAGGGTTCATGTTAGGTAGGCAGGTAGCCAATCATAAAAATCTATACTAAATCAATTATGGATCATCATAGGGCTGATGAGTTCAAGAATACCAGAGACAACATACAGCAGAAAACCCAACTGCTATGAGAAAGAAGCAAGATCTTCTCTGACCAATGGAGCATCAAAGCAAACAGAAATCAGTCCAAAAAATGAGAGTGACAACCTGAGATATTGGCACTTAAACAGAAGAGTTCAGGACTATAGAGGTATTAAACAGGTGAAGAGTAGAAATTGCTTGCCTGCAACAGACAAAATGGAAAGGAGGAAAAGCCAGAAATTGGAGAAAGGTTTTAAATTATGCTACAATGATTACAGTTCAACATGGAATGGCTTAGACATTATCCTAGACCAGTGGTTCCCAATTACTTTTTCCTGCGTACCACTTCAAGAAAGAGCTCAAACTCACGTACCCCCTATAGCAGAAATTCATATTAATTCATACTAATATAAATTCGAAGATAATTCTGTCTGTCTGTCTGTCACCTTTTCACGTCTAAACCGCCGAACAGGTTTTAATAAAATATGGCACGGAGATAGCTTACACGTTGGAGATGGACATAGGCTACATTTTACTGCGAGAAAATATCTTACTCGCACGAGAAAATTCAATATAACGCGGGCGAAGCCGTGGGAAGACAGCTAGTGATAAATAAAATAAGTTTTTTTTTACACTTATTACCTTTAAAATACAATTCTAATAATAATGAAAATAACATAAGGTTATTTAATTTTAATGCGACAAATGTGCACGATTTTCTTTGCGCAACTTTGTTAAAGCTGGTTGGTTTTTGTCAGCTTCAGTCTCGAGTCATTTTCGAGTCGAAGTCATTGACGATTCATGTTTATCACGGCCGAAAATCCGCTCTCGCAGACGTATGTTGTACAAAATGATAGTAAATATTTTATTGCTGCTTCGCTGACACGATAATAATGATAATTGTACAATTTTTATTTCTTGCATAAGAATTTCATTTAGGTATCGTCACAAATGCATTTTTTTTAATGAAATTTCGAGAATATTTTTAGTTATAAATAAACTAATTTGCGCATTCAACATAGTGTTGTAAATTTCCGAATTTTTGATGGTCCACCTATTACACAGGTCTGCAAGTAAAAAATTGCATAGGATTTTTATACATTTTCTTACGAATTTCAACTTGGTAAAAACGAAAAAAATATGAAAAAATTCCATTTCATCAATTTATTTGTTACACTCAAGTTTTTGTTTGTATTTAGCGTAAAATTCCTAGTTAACTTAAAATTTACTATTCTTTTCTTTTTATTTAAAAATAGCCTTAAAACGAAGACTTCTCACATTAATTCTATCAATTATAAGTGGACTTGGTAATAAATAAATAAAAATGTTAATGATTGAAGAGAGTAGTGGTAGGGGGAACTGGGTTAAGTAGTTTTAGCATTAGGAGGAAGGTCGCATGGTCGTATAGAAACAGGTTAAAAATTGATAGTGAGTAATATTATTGGTGAGGTTGAGCATGTTTCGACATGTTTTCTGGGATACTAGGAATAAATATAAACAACTCGCTGTTGGATTAGATCGTGTTTCAACAAGCTAACTAAGTTTAGTATCTCGCTGGCCATCTTATTCCACACTCAGTTTATATCCAGCATTCAAACGCTACTGTGCTTGTATTTTTATTTCTGGAATATGGCTCGCAGAGGTTGTGTAATTTCTTCTGGCAGCTTCTGTTATGTTTGTTGTGAATACACAGTGAAAAGTCAACAAAGAAACATAAGTGAGATTGTGAAGAAAGTTTAATTTGCATATTTCAAATTAAAACTTGGAGATGGAGACAAAACAGATTTCTGGAAACAATAGGAGAAAACGAAACAGAAGCATCGGACTCTTTCAAGAATGTAGTGCATAAGTTTTTGGGGAATACTAAAGACCATGACTAGAAAACCATTGTACAACACATGCTGGCAGCAGCGTATGAATTTCGAGGATGCGAGATAGCTTAAAAGTTCATTTCTTACACTCCCATATTGACTATTTTCCCGAAAAATTGGTAGCCTACAATGAAGAACAGGGTAAAAGATTTCACCAGGATGTCCGTAATATCGAGAGACATGAAAAGGAAAATTGGATGTCAATACATTAGCTGACTACTGTTGGATGCTCAATCCAGAAACCAGAGAAGGAAATTGGAAAAGAGTTTGGAGAAGCATCAAAAAGAAGAAAAGGTTTCATAAGAAAAAAGAGTAGACCTAAAAATGTGTATAAATATCAGAAACAATTTGTTGATTAGTTGTAAAAAAATATTTATTACAATGAACTAAATATATTATAAGAGTTTTTATAAAAAATTTGTTTTTATTTTGCAAAAACCTTTACATGATGGGATGTAATGGAAGTTAGTTTTAGAATCTGTGATCTTTAAAACATATAATTCAGCAAAAATATTCCATGCAGCTGAAAAAAATTTTTTTTTGAAGACATGTGTTATTTTTTTGATTGCTTTATCTCATGCATTTAAATTTTAAATTGACCGATTTTAGATTGCCTCGCGTACCCCTGGGGGTACGCGTACCACTAATTGGAAACCACTGTCCTAGACCAAAGATGGCAGGACAGTTGTAGAAGTAAGAAAAGAAAGTGATAAGTTAATAATGATTAAAGTGATATTTAACAACAAAATGATTAATATCAATAGCATATATGCCCCACAACTGGAAATGAATGAAACTAGTAAGGAGGAGTTCTGGGAACAGTTAGATATAATCCTGCAGGAGATTCCAACAGAAGAAAGTTGTCTGGTAGGTAGATATTTAAATGGGCATAAGTAGTTATGAAAGAAAAGGATATTGAGTAACAAATGTCACGGCATTGGCATGTGACCTAGCCATTGTAAATACCTTCTTTAAGAAAAGAGGGGCAAATTAAATTACATATGAGTGAGTCAAGTATATCACAAGTTTGACCTACTGACCAAAAAATGAGACTTAATAGTTTCACTTCATGCCATAATTCTGTTTGGTTTTCTATGCATCTGACAAATGTATCTCTGGACTTTTTTCTTATTCATTCTATTTTACAAATTTTCTTCTTTCCAGCATTTGTCTCCATATTTCATATAGTTCATTATATGATTTATTTTTTTATGTCCTTATATCTTTCTAGGTCTTCCATTCTGGTGTTTTGCCAATTTTTAAAAATTGGCAAAACACCTTTTCTCCATATATTGCTCTTAAAACTATATGCATAAACATACAAACACATCAAAAAACCAGAATATCTAGCAACAAAAAATATTTTAAAAACTAAAAAAATGTTTTCAACCATTTTAATTGGTCATTTTTAGGTTTTAAATCCATTAAATAGAACATAATTAGAAAATCAAATGTATTTAGAACTTGAATATGACCAATTAAAATAATCAAAAATATTATTTAGTTATCAAAATATTTATTTACTGCTGGATATCCTGGCTTTTTGATGTTTGTAATCTTTTTCTTCCCAGCTAGCTTTTTCATCAGTTAATTCAATCACCAGGTTTCTTTAATTGGGACTCATTTGCTTAGTGTGTGTTAGGATACATGCAGAAAATTTTCAGGGGGAGACAAATCTTGGAGACAAATAATTAAATAAAAATTTATTGATGTATTTATTTAACTTTTTGGATTTTTTCCACAAGTAGATTACAGAATACAATATTGCATCAAAGCATCCCATGGTCAAATTTGTAAGTAAGGTTACATATCTCAATCACTTTTACAATTTGGAGTGCTTTACTTGATCCAGGGAGAGCAAATGTCCCATTTGTTCTCCTCTACAGACATCCATGTGTGCTACAAATTCAGCAAAAAGAAAGTTACATGACTATCTAAAATACCTAAAATCAATTTTATACAGTGATGGGAATATTGACAAGGACATATAGAACACAAGTTGGCTGGAAAATTTGGCAGAAAGCTAGTAAGAGTGTTATGTGACAAAAGAATGCCATTCAAGTTAACAGGAAAATTCTATGAAACTGTCATAAGGCCCATTATGCTCTATAGTGCTGGGCAAATAACAATCAAAATTTTTGTAATAGCTATAGCAATTTGTCATATATAAATGTATGTATTTTAAAAAAAGTGCATACGTTCAAAATGTAAAATGGTTTCTTATTCAAATGTGTTGCAAAATCCTGAAGAAGGTATTTTATAATGTTGAAAATATTTGAGTTACAGTAAAATAATTGTTTTTGCACTTATATTTTTATTATAAACTTGTTAACTCCATATACTCTACACTTCTACTTTGTATTGTAGTAATATTTAATTTTTTGATGCTGCCTCTGAAGATGAGTTGATGAACATATTAAGGTATTTTTGAATTTTTCTATACTCCTAAAGCAGTGTAGAATCATTTTCTTTCAAATCCATAGGAGTTTTATGTACGTTAATCATTTGCTTGTAAATTGTACTTGTTAAAGAATATGTTTTGATAGCATATTCTTTTTGCTTCTCTTATTGGATTTACTTTGATGTAGATGAAATAAATTACTTTTACTGTAATTAAACAAAAGTGATGTATTATTCATCTTTTTATTGGTTTATTCACTTTTTTTATATATAACTAAACATAAATAATAATAAATTTAAACATTTTTTCAGATTTAGGTGAATTTATTTTCATGTATGCATTTCTAATAGCTTGAGATGACTAATTGAAATATTGAATCTTCTAATTACATAAATAAGTGCTTAAGTTTCATTAAAAAGAAAAATTGCATTTTCCTGTAATGTTTCATTTTTGCATAGAAAATATTTCTGTTAAATATTTGTAAAAGAAGGCAATTTAAGAGTATCAATTTTATTATGAGAATAAAAATAAAATTTTGGTAGTTCTTTGAAGTTTTAATAAAATTTCCTATAATGTTATGGTAATCTCTATTTAATTTCTCTAAATCAACAATTATATCCTTATACTTATTTGTAAATATTATAAAATTTTTTATAAGCAAAGTGATGCAAGATAATTTAACCAGATATTCTTCTCACATAATTTTAAACTTTCAAAAATTTATTTAGTACGTCAGAACTGCAGATTACAACATAATAACAATTACATTTAACAATTTTTGTAATCACAATTTCTAACCCTTGAATGCAGGCTAGGTCTACCTAATGAAACTACTTTCCATCGTCAATCATAAAGTTATTTTCCATCATTTAACAGTAAAAGTTTCATTATCTAATTTCATTACAATAGTTAAAAACGGTCTATCTGTTCAAAAAGTCATTCAGAATTCCAAAAGACAAAATAATAAATTCATTTTACTTGTTCTTGCCATCACCATGTTATTTCATATACTAATTATTATTTAATTAAAAAACAAATTTCACAAGAAAATCTTTAAAAACTTACAAGAGTTAAAAAAAAAAAAAAAATACAGGGATTCTTCATATTTCTTTATCTGTCATTAAATGTTTTAGCATAATTATCATCCCAGCTATTTACTACCTTCGTTACTAGTTTTATTAATAATTATTTGTTTGTGTCCGAGAATGGCAAATTACGACCAGCTTTTTGGGAATGCCATAGAGGTTAAGAGTAATTAGAATCACTCATTTTCTTTAAGATAACTTGCTAATAAGTGTTAAAGGATCCAAACACCCAGTAAAAAGTAGGAATGACATATTTTTGTTTTTATAGACTTTATTATAATGCCTTTTTAAAGACCTTTTCCATTTTTTGCACAAAATATATGAGAATGAATAATTTTCTAATCAAAAGAAATAATTTGTTCATACAAATTTAAGAATTAGAAACCGTATCAAAATAAATTTGACTACTCAAAACCGGGTATTTGCTTTCTCATAGTCTCTTCTCGCCAGTTATCAGTTATACGTGTGGCATTTATCGTATCAAAATAATTTTAGTCTCCAAATAACACACGACATATTTAAAATTTATAAACCACGACCACAAGAGAAAACATTAGATTAAATTATTCCCGCACATCCCATATACCAAACAGAAAATTTCTATTCAAGTATAAATAATAAATATACCTTCCAGTTATTAAGAATTTTTTTTTTATTATTTAATAATGCATTAGAACTTTAGCAAAAGGAAGAGTAAAAGGAAAACTTTAGTAAAAGGAAAGAGAAAGTCTTCTGTATTGAAGACTCTCTCTTTCCTTTACTAAAGTTAGAAGTGTTTTAATTAATAAAGTTTGTTAAGATTATATTAATATTCCATTAATTAAATTTTTAAATACTGGAAAACCTAGGTTATTTATAAAACAAAAAGTATGTAAAATTATTCCTTTAGTACAATTACAACTTGGATTATATATTTTATTTATAAGTAATTAAATGCATTAAAAACTAATGAGACTAAGTTTTTTAGATCTTGGGATAATGTTAAAGACTTATACCAGAACTTCATTTACCCTATTAGAGGTAAAATTCGGATTTTAATGTATATCATAAACGCTTAATCGATTGTTTTACGATTAAAACATTAAAATTTATTAATAAGCACGTTACGGCTACGTATGCCACACAGAAATAACTAAAGTAAATATACCGTCACAGTCTGTCAGAATGTAATCAAATTTATCAAAAAATCCATCTTCAATTAAACCTCTGTCTAGAAGCCGGCAAGCCATGCTCGTGCACCTCAATCCGATCCTTTCGGTTATCTTTACTCGCACTTTTACGTTACGTATTTCCGGTAGTAGCGGAATGGAAAGAAAATTTAAGTAAACCGATCCTCTCTACTTTTAACCAACCCACATCCGATTTATTATTCGGCATCGTCTTAAATATTTAACTTGATATATTATTTATTATAAACATTTTAACACAGATTTATAAACAAATTTAATTAATTCAATTTTTTTCATGTACAGTACATTATTTAATATTTAATGTTTCCACGCTCTTATCTTCTTTTCTCGTCGGCAAAATTAAATTAAAATTAATTCGGCGATTGTAAGAGTTAAGCTTATATTTATAATTAAAACTCTTCCACTGAAAATTTGAAAAATTTCGTATTACTGTTGACGGAATTAAGAATATTCTTAGTCAAAATATCTCTACTAGATGGTGTTGAAAACCATAATGCCGTCTAGCTATGGATTCATAATTTTTAAAATACAGTTTCACTTTTGTCATTTATATTTGAATTATTTTTATTATTCGTGTTATTCTGTTGCTGATATATTATTATTATGTACCAGAAAATAATATTTATATATTGAAAAAGTTTCATATAGACTCAATCCATTAGCGCCCGAGTCATAAATTTAAATGAATTTTAAATCGAGTCGAAGTGAGTTAAAAACTCTTACAACTTTTTGAAAACTCAATTACATTTGAATGGCGTAATAAATTATTAAATATTTACTAGAGCCTATAGGATTGTAGGATTGATGTGATAAGGCGACGTAACGCATGGCCGAAATGCTAAGGGGGTTGACTCCCGAGCGACCGTCTACGGGAAATTGGAATTTAGGTACTGTATTATATACGTGAAGAAAATCCGATAAACTCCACCTGGTCGCCCCGTTGGTCGGGCCATAAGCCTATTCTACAATTTGCTAGAGCCAATCCAAATATGGTCGTTTGAGCCGAACCCGTGCTGGGTATAGGAAAAATGCCATCTTAAGACTGGTATACACGGTAAGGAAATCCTCAAAGGATGTGCTTAACAGACGAAAAAAACTCGGATATAACTGGCTGGATCGAACATAGTAATTTACAAAACTTATTAAAATATCTCCCAACGTATAAAGAATTATTTTTATTTAAAAATGAATAGATAGAAAAAAAAATCACGGTTAATCCTCAAAGGATTTCCTTACCGTGTATAACAGCCTTTAGTCCGCAGAGAGGAAAGAGTTAAAACAAAGTACTGGGCAACGTGCACCAATGAGTCACTAGCGCAATTGTTACAACGATCAATTAAGACGGTGTAATAAAAATGTTTAAGTTCTCATTTACAGAATGACAGTACAGTATCGAGAGTCACGGCAGTGATTCCTTGCCAGGAAAAAAGTCATCGACCGACTATATATACAGCAGGTAAGTCAAACTCATCTAAACAACGAGTCATTTAATGCGACTAGTAAGATTCATGCGGGCCACATCACATTTACAAATTTTCTTAAAATTATAATTTGAAGTGAGAATGCAGGAATATAGATAGGGCAATTAAAACACATTATGTAGCTCAGTGAATTCAACTCAACAATATACTGTATAATTGCTATAGTATTGCTTTTATTTAAACATTTATTTTATTTAATGTACATGTTTATAAAACTAAAATTATTTATTTTTACCCGAAACTTGCCCGAAGAAACCAGCGCTTTCTTCTTCCTACTAGTTTTCCAATATCTGGTTTCAAAAACTAAGAACAAACAATGTTCATTATGGCAGATAGATGTTTATCAGTTAATCTTGATCTGTAAGTCGTTTTATCATGCATAAAATTAATTGCTCATATAAGTACAGTACGTACTTCCAAAAAAGCATAAAATTTGTGCACAAAACTTTTTAATTTCCGGGTATTTTTCTTAATACGGCATCAAAAATATCTTCACTAGTTGTTGTTCCGTGAAGAGGAATGATTTCCAACAATTTTTTGGTGATCCTCATGTTATTATCGCAACCACGGGGGGAAAAACAGCAACTTAGGCAACATCTCTTACATCCGTGCTTTCATCAATCGCAATTGAAAAGCCTTGGACTTTGGTAGATACTATCTGTAGTTGTGAACTGACGTCATCTGCCATTTCCGCAATTCTGTCTGTACAAAAGTACAGGCAATTTGAAATATCTCATTATTAAGAAATACGGCGGCAGACAGAATTACGGAAATGGCAGATGACGTCAGTTCACAACTACAGATAGTATCTACTAAGGCGCTAGATTACCCAGGTATGCTCATACGCTTCTGTCACGTGTGCAGCCATATTGGTCCTTTTGACGTCATATTCCAAGATTTTTAAATTTAGCTGTATTTTATAACTAGTTGTACTAAATTTTGGCAAAGTTTATCATTTCGACCTTGCAAAATCTTAAGATACAGTTGAATTTATGATTATTTTCGTGTCTCTTCTATTGAACTTTTACGAGAGTCGTCTGCTTTCTAAGGACCAACATGGCGGATGAGCATACCTGGGTTATCTAGCGCCTTAGTATCTACCAAAGTCCAAGGCTTTTCAATTGCGATTGATGAAAGCACGGATGTAAGAGATGTTGCCTAAGTTGCTGTTTTTTTTTTCTGGACAGACGAATTGGGCAGCTTTTATCATACATTCTTGATTAAAGAACCATCGGTGAATGTTTTGCTAATTAAATAGCTTATTTCGTAACTGGCTCTTGTTACTGATTCATTAATTTTCATGAATTTTGTAAGCACTCGTTGCTGGCTACTAAGTGAATTCTTGATTGTTTTTAACTTTTCTTGTCTTATTTATCCTTCAAAGCACGAAAATTGTTCTTCGTGATTAGTGCTATAATGTCGCTTAATGTTATAACGTTGTATTCTTTAGCGACACTAATTGTTTCTTTGCAAATTAACTGCCTTGACACCCCTGGTTTAAACAATGACTTTGTTGCCAAAATAAGTACTGTACGTAGTGTACTGTACACGAAAATACAGAAAATATTTTGTTTTCAAACGTGCGACAGTTACGGTGAATGTGAAAAAGAAAAATATTTACTTACGCGAACCGCATTTCTAGTATTTGATGGCGATAACGAAAAATAAATTAAGGTCACATTTCCCAAAATTACCACAAAACGTGATATTTCCTACAGGTTGGCAACACTAATACAGTAAAATTTTATTCGTCCAATGAGAACACGGGATATATATAGTTGTCTGCAAGTTATCGTTATTCTAGGCAAATAAACAATATTTTGTTTATACGAATAATTGTAAAATGACAACTTGCCCGAAACTCGTCGATGCCGGAGTAGTTAAAGAAGGATTTTTAAATTTAATTGATTTTGTATTGTGTGATTGCGATGGTAAGAAATTATCGATGGGATAATCTTAGGAGCGGAACAATACAATGTTTAATTAATTAAAGCATTACAGTAGTTGATTGTTTCTTTTTTATTTTAAAGAATATAAATCAATAAAATTAGTAAGAAAATAAGTATTTGATACTTAGACTTGATTTATATTAAGTGAAATTTTCCTAAACATTTTGTTTGTTCTTGCCATTTGTATTTGATGAGGTCGAGACCCACTAATGTGACATGCCGTCGAGCTCCTTAGTAAACAAGAGGTCGCATTCGACGTACTTTTTATAAAAAGCTTCGCCAAATTATTGTCCATACTGGTCTCAAATTCCAATGTAGTTTTTTATTCTGTTCTGGAGATTAAATTGCATATAGAGGGATTCGACTATTACTTTCGGATTTGTACTGCTTTTATGAGATTTATGTAGTCGCATATGCAATTTGGTACGATCTTTCTAGGCAGTTGTATTAGCCCATGTCTTGATACTCTGAAATGATATTGAGTAGCGGACCAGGGATGGGCTGCTTTTTTCGAGTACACTCTGAAGTTACTGAATTTGTGATGAAAACATTTTCTTGCCTGCTGTCCAAAATTTTTGGGAGCTACTGGTAGCTAGACTATGCTATGGGAAAGCTAAATTTGGTGGATTTTCCATTAAGTTGTCAACTCTGCTTTTAAGTCAGTATATTGCAGATATAGATGTCTTTGAAATAGGATGTTTGTTTCATTTTCTTATTACTTAATGCTTGTAGTACTAAAACAGTTGATAATGTTTGTTTCTTTTTATTGCAGTTTTATTTAGTATTACAACTCAAAAAATTTATATTCTATTAAGTTAAAACCCATAGCCTGGTGAAGATGTTGGATATTTGTTTCTAAGATGAACCCTGGGTTGCGTTCTGGGAAAAAGTTGTCAGCGTGCCCCTTTGGTATGTGTTCCGAGGGTTGTCTGTCCTAGATGTATGGGAGGCTCTTCTGATAACTGACGGTAATTATTTCTGGCTTAGTAAATGGTTCTATTTGCAAAAACTCGTGGTTCTCTGTTGTGGCCATCCTAGCAGCGCTAATTAAGAAAGACGTAGAGTTTAGGATTTTTACTGTATCCTTTTCTGTCATTATTCTCTCTTGTATTTACAGATGTAGATAATACATTATAGCTCTCACAAGGAATTGATAGTTTTTATTTATGTTATCTTTTTACTCAATAATAGGTTTTTCCAAAAAATGGGAAGAAAAGGATAATTTTATATCCTTTTCAGATGTACACATACACAAAACTACTGTGAGGCTTAATTTTGGGGTTTATCACAAATTCAGCTTGCTTCCTACGGTTCCATCATTTTCATTTCTAACTTCCTGATTATACCATGACTATCAGCATCTTAATATGACATCCCTATTTATATCCCTCTTCATATTCCCATTTGATGGATAAGCAATTGGAATGAGTTCTGTCTGCAGTTAAGAAAATGTATTACTCTTTTGCAAAGTTCAAGCATGGTTTTGAGATTGCTTTTCCTGATTTCTACTATGGCCGTGAGGAGGGATGCAATGTCCATACAGGTACTCATCCCTGTGACATGTTACATTATGCCTTCAAAAATACTACGTTATGCCTTTCCTGTCTTTTCAGAAAATATGGATATATCTTTCCTATCAAACTGTAATCTTTTTACATAGAATATTATGCAATGACAGGGACTAATATTCCATGCAAGAGAGGTTGGAGATCTACAAAATTCCTTTAAAACATTTGATAGTGTCTAGGTTTTCTTACATAGGAGCTACCTCCAAAACGCATGCAAGTATATAGATTATTTGAATACCAAGACAATATCTTGCATAGTATATATTCTGCAGATTCTTCTTTGGATATTGTTTTGCATGACACTTATTATGTTGTTGTTCGTTTTCATTGTGTTGTCAATGGAGGCTAGAGTGTATTGGAGTTAATTGGGAGCCATTATCAGAGGCCACTTACTCCACCAGTGCACAGATCAGAACATCTTATTTATGTGGGAGAC